GGAGTTCATTTATTATAATTTGAATATTTATGGAATATGAATAGAGTTTATTAATTATGATTAATATTTTATATTAGGAAACAATTAATTGATTAAAAATTGAATGGTTGATATGAGGGTTGTATAGGGTGTAAGAATGGCAAAGGGTGTAAAATAACATCTATATATATATATATATATATATATATATAGGGGCAGGTTCAAATGAAAACCATCTAATTCTAAAAAACCGTGTAAACCAATTTCGACCAATAAGAAAATTCCATTTTTTTCAATTAAATTTAATTAATAAGGGTATTTCTGTCATTTTCCAAATCTTTTTGATAATTAAGGAAGTTATTAATACATATTATTTAAGGAAATTTAATAAAAGAAATAATGAAAAAGGTAACGTTTCAAAATTTAAATATATTATATAATTAAAATCTTGATTTTAATGATTTGGTATTCAATGAATCATGAAACATTTTATGAAGATTACAACAACTTTAGGTGAAATCGTGGGTTGATGTTGGTTAGAAAAAAAAAAACAAATGTTCATGAAATTGTATATATAAACATGAAAATGTTTCATTGTAAAATGACTTATTTGCTTCTTCAAAGCATATGGTATACATCAATGAAATAGTGTCATGATGGTGAAAAATTTTATGTTCTAATTGATGCATGCTTCGTGAAATATTTTCATGGTGTTCCGTATTGATTTGTGATTGAAGTTGATCCGTTTAATTGGTAGAATGAAAAGGGTTCATGATGATGAAACATTTTCATTTTGTAATTGATTCGTGATTGATGAACTAGTTTCATGGTGAGCAACGTTGCATTGTAATTGAATTTGATCTGTTTAGTTGGTAGAATGAAATGAAACGGGTGCATAATGAGTTTTGTTTTTTATGAAATATACATATCATGAAACAGGTGCATATTATATTTTATTGTACATGAAATTAATGTGAATGTAAATGTTTTCATGTGAAAAGGTTTCATTATAAAATAGTTATTTAAATAGGTTCATGCTGGTGAAACATTTTCATTTTATAATTGATTCGAGATTGAAGAACTAGTTTCATGGTGAAACAGTTTATGCTCTAATTGATTCATGCTTCATGAAACATTTTCATGGTGATCCATGTTGTATTGTAATTGAAGTTGATCCGTTTAGTTGGTAGAATGAAAATGAAACGGATGCATAATGGATTTTGTTCTTTATGAAATATATGTATGATGAAACGGGTGCATATTATATTTTATTCTTTATGAAATTAATGTTAATGTAAATGTTTTCAATGTGAAAAGGTTTCATTATAAAATAGTTAATGAAATATGTTTCATTAGGATGTTACCGATTGTTAATGATTGTTTACCATTCTACCCTTATTGATGAAATAAACTAAATTTTTAATTTTTAATTTTTTTTTAATTTCCATAAATAAAACATACAAATCTTGACCATT